AGATGTGCAAAAATTTATTTTGCACACCCTCCAACGTTTTAATATTTATTTGGTAAAAAGGAGACCAAACGGTACAGTTATATTCTAAAATGGAACGAACCAAAGATATATACGCCAATTTAAACGTATCAATTGGAAACTCTTTTAGATGTCTATTAATAAACCCAAGGATTTTGTAAGATTTGCATGAAACAAGTTGAACATGTTCAGTAAATGTTAGTTTTTGGTCCATCATCATACCAAGATCTTTTATCTTCGAAACTCGTGACACTTTGTGATGAAATAACGAATACTGATAATCAACTGCAGTTGTATTTCTGGAAAAAGATATAATGAAACACTTCTTTGTATTAACCTCCATCAAATTAGTCTCACACCATACACCAACCTTTTCAATATCCTCTTGGAGAAGTACACAGTCTTCGTAAGACCTTATGTCTTTATATATTTTGAGGTCGTCCGCAAATAAAAGTATATTAGAATTCCGTACTACTTGATTAATATCATTTATAAAAAGCAAAAATAACAAAGGACCACAATGTGACCCTTGTGGAACACCCGAAGGAACAAGGATCTGTTTAGATATAAAATTACCGAATTTAATATACTGCATGCGATCCCTAACAAAACTACCGATCCAGCTAATCAACCTGCTATCCAAATTCATTTTCTAGAGTTTATATATCAAGATATTGTGATTGACTCTGTCAAATGCTTTGGACAGGTCACCATAAAAGGAGTCAACTTGAGAATCGTTTTCAAAAGAGTTTATTATAAAATCTTGATATTCTAATAAATTTGTTAAAGTCGAACGCCCTTCAATAAATCCATGTTGAAATGATGATAACGATTGTTTAGCTATATATCTAAGCTGCTGAGTAATTAAGAAATCTAATAATTTAGGTAAAGCTGACTGAATGCACACCCCCCGATAATTAGTAACCTCAGAACGATCCCCTGATTTGTATATGGGTGTAACATAACTATTCTTCCAATAAGAAGGGAAAACCCCTGAAGATAGAGATAAATTGAAGATGTATTGAATGGGTTTACTTAATGAGTACACACATTGTTTTATGAAATAAGCTGGTATGCCATCAGGTCCACAATTAAAGGAACTTTTAAGATCCACAATAGCACTAAATACTTCACCTAATGAAAAAAGATGACTATTAAATTCTGAATTGGAGTTTATTGAATACGACATGTCAAAATTTGGATTATGATTCTGTCTTTATACAGATGAAAAAAAATCAGCGAACAAGTTAACCGTAGTAGCTGCACTATTACTTGTTACATCATTGTATTTCATAGTAATTGGTAGATTAAAATTCTTTCTTTTTCCATTAATAAATTTCCAAAAAGCTGAAGAATTGCAATGCATTTCATTATTTATTTTGCTTATGTAGCTATTATAACACTGCTTAGTCAATATTTTGCACTGTGACCTTAAATTGGAAAATGTGTTATAATCTTCAAACTGACCATCCTGTTTGAATTTTTTATGAGCCTGCTTTTTTGCTATAATTATGTTTTTTAATTCAGGCGAAAACCATTTAGGAAAAGTAGAACTTCTATATCTTTTTACTGGTATGAATTCACTAATAATGGTATATAGATATTGGTAAAATAAATGTATGCAGTGGTCGACGTCTTTTTGATTAAATAACTCTTCCCAATTTATTTCAAGTAAAGAGATATTAATTGCAGAATAATTTGCTACACGAAAAGCATAAAAGAATGAATCATCATATTATTAAAGATATTATTAAGATTAATTTGGTATCCATTATGATGAATTGAATTATTAAGAAGATTATCCACTGAGTAAGATACTGAAGTATTTACGATATTTGAAAAAACCAGATCTAGGAAAACGCCCATACTGTTCGAGAAGTTATTAGCTTGATACATATTCATAAAAGAGAAACATTCAGCTATCGGGATCACTTTATAATTAGGATGACATGCTACCGTTAAAGAATCTTCAACAAAATCCCATGTAGCTTCCGGTAGATTGAAGTCACCACATATGATGAACTTGGAATTTAAGTTTTTCTGATACACATTACTTAAGGTTAAACAAAAATTTTTGTAAACAAGAATATCAGAATCTGGAGGAATATATGTAGCACCAATAATGAAATTATTTCCAAAACCATCGACCACTTTAACCAAAATCAATTCATAAAGATTGGAGTGAGATAATAATAAGGAACAATTAAAATTATTTCTGACACCCACCAGGACACCACCACCTCTTTTTTTACCAGTTATTTCAACATTTCTATCGGCTCTAAATAAAATATACTCAATTGAGCAAATTTCCGAATCTGATACATCTGTAGATAACCATGTTTCTATTAATATAAATATGTCATATATGGAAGTAATTAAATTAGTATTGAATTCTTTTAACTTAGTTTTCATCCCACCAACATTGTGAAAATAAAGAGTAAGAGGGTAATTATTTAGTTTTTTTTTGTTAGATTTTGAAATAATCTTAGGTTCCCCACGAATGTACCTTATGGCTAAATTTTGTTCCCCATTACTTAATCTAGTTTGCAATTCTTGGCGAACCATTTTATATTTTTGTCTTTGCAGGATGGTTTGGTCATAGTTTAATTTAATATCATTTGGCGCCTTTCTTCTATTTTTTAAAACTTCCATTGCTTCATTAGCATCTTTAAATATTAGTTTTAATGGTCTGGGTTTAGAGTTCTGCTTGGCTGTACCCAATCTTATTGACTTAAATTCATATAATGGCAAATTCATGCTGTTTAATATATTTGAAACAGACTCCTTATCTTTATTTATCCTGGTGTTTAAATCATCACTTTGAAATTCAGAAAGATTATACACTATAACATTTTTAGAACGGTGTAACCGATCATTTATCTCAGCAAAGATCTCCTCCTCGCTCGTTATTTTATTGCTAGTGTTTGCTTTAATATTAGATTTTAATTCATTAATTTGGGTTTGTAAGTTGTTAACCAGTTCTACCAATTGAGGAATAAGGGTTATAGCGCCGTCACATTTTTTACAATAGAATCGCATTCTTCGATTTTTGAGTTCAAATGCCCTTATTTCAGTTTATGTTAATTCAGCGCACTCTTTACAGAGGGACTGTTTACATGCATCACAGTTGAAGGTTTTACCAGTTTTTTTACAATGATAACAAGACGACATTGTAGAAATATTATAGATATACACACTAAAAAATGTTGCAACCATACCTGATTGTTAAAATGAATTTGGTTGTTATATCCATATTTATTGTTGGCAACATTATAGGTGAAAAAAAGTAAATAGTTGTAACAATCATTCAATTTTGGTTATGAACCATATAGTATCAATAACTATATGTGTAGTACTCTTTTGACATAACTCTTACTAAATGGTTGTAACAACCATAATGTTTGGAAGTAATCTGCCATACTATAACCTTTTGTTGAACAAACCACAATTATAGTTAAATTTAATTTAACCGCCTATCGATTCGACCAATGGCATAATTTCCCACTTAGTGCCAGACAATTGTCAGCACATTTGTGGTCGTCCGCAGTCGTCTTTGTGTTTTGATTCGTTATTCCAAGAATTAAAAAATTACAGTTTACGTAGTTGGTGTTTTGTGATACTGATAATTGATTTTATGGTGTTGTGACAATGGAAAATGTAAAAAAATATTTACAAGCATGGAGTTTGTCCCATCTCATTGCTAAATTTGAAGGTAAGTAGCTAAATATACGTGCTTCATTTAGTATAATAGTTGCAATGTAAGCAATCAAGACTTGATGCAACGATCGGTTTCGTGTTCATTTGTTTTAAGTCATACAAGGATAAGGTATGTTTGAATTAGTTCATTTTTCCATAAAAATATGTTATTTTAAACATTACTTTAAAAATATGCCAATTAATATAATACAATCTTAATGTTAAATACTTTGTTCCGTTGTAAATTAAACAAATTGTGTAACGTGATGCAAGTAACATCATAGTGTGTGCGATTAATAAAAATCTATGCTGGTATATTTTTCTCGTCATGGGTTAGTTATGCACAACGGGGTCAAGGGATGAGAAAAACAGTGTCCACTGTGGACGTTCCTCTACGAACGCACTCTACATAATAATTATTTGATGAGTACGTTGATGGTACAGGGTACCATTCAAATTAAAATTGCTAAATTATAATAAAATTCAAATATGGTGTTAAAATGGAATCTTTTTCGAAATACTCATACACTGAAGTGTGCTATGGCCAAAAAATTTCTGATTAATCTTTTATTCAGTTCAGTTCGTACTAGGTAAAACCCATAATAATGTTTTATGATACATTTGATACATTTCCTGGCACAAACGGACTGATTTCTGAAAAAGTTATAAAATCAAATTTGGTCTTAGTTTTTTTAACGGTATTATACGGTGTCTGAGCCATATATTGCCATATTCCTTATATTGTCAGGTCTAAAAATCGCCTAAATTCTAAACAATTGAATCATATACGGCTTTAAGTTATCTTTATAATGGGCAACTCGTATTCACGTAACAATCGTTTATATATAGCTTTCAGGTTTCAAAATTTAATTTGCCAACAAATTTTAAACCTTAAGATGGCAATATTTGGCTTAGGTACCTTCTTACATAGCCACACACTTTTGATACTAACACTGTATTGTTTTGTAATCTTCACCAACCTTTTTCTTTTAAATTTTGGAGAATTAAAGCAAAATCGTGTAGTATCTTTTCCTTTTAAAAGTAATTTAAAATGTGGTTTGCCAAAATGCATACATAAGTATGTACAATATAAATTGTTCGTTTCCATAACTGTAACAACGAATAAATAACTGTAAATTTTATTAACATCACTTTTAAATGTTGTAATATTATTTTTCAGAAGAAGCGATAGATTCTCAAAAATTAACACAGATTCACAAGATTTCAAAGAACTGATTGCAAAGTATGGGGACAGAATTAAATTTAAAGAAGGTTTTAGACAGTTGTACAATAGAATTGACGAAGAAAATGTAATAACAGATAATAACTGCTTAGAAACAATAGTAGTTAAGACAAATGATGCTCCTAGTGATACTTCAGGTAATGTATGGTTTTAAGTGAAAACATGTTTTTATGTATACAATTTTAGTTTACAAAGAGACACAAGAACCCATTCCCAGCACTAGTAAAGGCACGTGCTCTACAGTTTATAGAGTGGATGATAATTTACCTTTAGGTACTGTATGATATTTGGTAATGACATATATATACATCAGGGTGAGTCACTAAGCGATAACTCAATTATTATTGAAAATAGAAAAGTTGTACGGTTCTTTGAGTATCATTAAATTATTTTTAACTACACAGAATGTTCTGTGTCTGAGACATACTACACAGCTTAGCTTTTTTAATAGAGCACCTTACTTATATTTTTATATATTCTCAGTGGCTTCTTCCTCAGGTTTAGAACCGTAAATTCCAATGCGACGTTGTCACGTAATTCCACTTTACTTGATATTTTTTAATAATGCAATGGTACATAAAAATGCTTTATAATCATCGGAAATGAATATACACGTTTGATCATATTCGCAGAAACATAAAATTCAATTAGTCATTCATCAGTTATGTCGATCATCTCGATAATGTAACGTATACAAAAAAAAAAAAAACTAATTGCAGATTTAGAATCAGCATGCCCAACGTAGTAAAATCACCCACTCTATTCTTTGATGATTTTTTGTTGTTTAATGAAATATCAAGGACCAGGTGCTTAGTGACTTACTGTTATTTTATTAAGAGTGAAGTTTTATGTTTGAATGGTGTTTTTAGATATTGTACCGGTACCGTATAAACGGTGTGATTCGTTTTTGGAAAAACTTCCAAATCTGGAAGTGACATACGAGCTTGTAAGTAAACACATATATTTTTTTGTAAGATGTCATTGCTTTGTAGGATTTGAAAAAATTTTTGCAAAATTCTATAAAAGGTCGTAATATATTGGCCCAGAAAAGCCATTTAACACCGCAATTAAGAGATGATCTCGTTGCATTATTAATCGATCACGATTTACTACAAGACATTAATTCCTAGTATGTTTTAACGAAAGAACTGAAAATCGAACATACATTTTTGTAAAAAATTGCTATTTTAGTATTCCGACCAGAAGACTTTTACAATTAGCCCGTCTCATAAAGCAAGAATTCCCGAACGAAGATATTTCCACATACTATATACCGTATGTTAGACAAAACAAAAAAACTGTCCAGTGTATGAGGGGTAAATTAGTTGATCGTTACCATAATCAAAGAAAGAAGTTGAAAAAATCTGGCGTTCTCACAACTGCGTGTCCATCATCAAGCCTTGAAGTTCATGAAACTGTAGAAATAGCGAGTACGTATGTAATTAATTTTTGAAGATATAATTCCTACGCTTTTTTTTTTAATAGGTAGTCAAGATTACGAGGATGACGTGGAAGACTTTTGTTGTTGGTTAAGGTATAATACAGAACCTTGGCCAGAAGTTTTGGCTAAATGGAAGGCCACTACATGTGTAAGAATTCCCCGCTATAACCAGAATACAACCACAACTATCCAAGAATATTTTCAAGAATATAAAATTTTAGAAAAGTTCTTAGGTTATCAATTAGTAAGTAATATAACAGTATATTATGTAAGTTCACATTTTTATAGGTGGTATATTTTTTTAGCTGGAAATTGATTTCAATTATCTTTATCCCAAAAAATCAGAAATATTTTTTGCCGAAATACATAAAAAAAAACATATTATATTACGATTGGCCCAATACCGAGGCGTACTGACTCAACATTTTCCGGATCAAAACATTAATATTTTGAATGAAGGTAAAACCAATTGATTTATTTCTTTGTAATTTGAGTTAATAATAATTTTCTGTTTAGACGCCACTGCTGTTCTAAGTTTATTAACACTACCGTATCTAATGCCAGTAGTGATTGTTACGACAAATAAAAAGAAATGGAAACCGTCTAAAGTTGAAGTAGCGAACAGTTTCATTACTTACGTGAAAACCAGTGAAGAGATGCAATTGATGTTGGAACGAAGACATCGAAAATATGCGGAAACCAAACAATTATGCCAACCTCTAATAACAATTGTTGGACCAGATTTGAACAACCTGAAGGGCTATATTTCCATCGATAACTGTACATATCCTTTTGAATCGGCCTTGAAAAGTGTAAACACTTGTTTTAAAATAATTCATGCAATTGTTGCAGAATATCCACCTGAATGTTCTCATGTTTGGCAGTTAATACAAATTTACATCTATGATTTAAAGACAGAGTGGGACAAAAAGTCTTCAATTGTTTCTGCTCTGATATCTGATTTGTGTAATGAATCTGAGAGTGAGAAGTAATATTTAAAAATAATGAATTGTTGTCACAAATTTTCAAGTTCAAAAAAAAAAATTATTATTGCATATGAAATATAGACATTCCTATGATGGTAAATATATTCGCTGCATTTTTTCGTATTCGTGTCAAAGAGAATTTAGTTCATACAACTCTTTTTACAAACATCTTTCGAATTTTCACAGAAAAAACTTTCTGAATACTCAGTGGTTGTCTAACAACGTTACAGGTCAGTGTAGTAGTCCAGATACAAATTTTACACTACCTTTATTCCATACAGCTCCCAATAGTGTTGTTTCAAAACCAACAGTTTCTGATTATTGTGAACCTTTTAGTAACAGATTATATAATGACATAATTGCAAATAAGGAAAATCAAATTGAGAGTAGTATTGCGCTTTTTATTTCTCACTTATATAAAAGTAACTCAGTGCCCCGTTCAGAAGTGCAAAATATAATCTCTAGTGTTAGAGATTTACTTTCAGAGATAGAACATATTTTAAAAGCAACTTTTGATCCATGCAATATCAAAAATAATGAATTAGAATACATTTCTTCAAGTTTTTCGTATGTTCAAAGTAAATTTAAGTTGTTCAGATCAGAACATATGATATTTAAATATTTAGAAAAACACGACTTATATATTAAACCTGTAGAAATTGTTCTTTCTGAATCACTACAAACTTACTCAGAAAATGTGTGTCCCAAACATGTTAGCATTAAGGAGACAACTGTTTTCATTCCTTTACGGAAGGTTTTAAAACGTGTGTTTGAACTTCCTAATGTTTTCAGTGCAACTTTAGATTATATAAAATCTCTGGATTCTACGAGTCTCTTTGAGAATTTTGTTCAGTGTAATTTATGGCAAGACATCCGTAAATCATTCTCTGGGAAATTAGTTATTCCCTTATTTTTATATTTTGACGATTTTGAATCAGGAAATATTTTAGGATCACATTCTGGTGTGAACAAATTAGGTGTAGTTTACATCTCGGTGCCATGCTTTCCAAAACAATTTCAGTCTCTTTTGGAAAACATATTTTTTGTTCAGTTGTTTCGATCTAGTGCTCGTAAAGATATAGGAAATAACATATTTCAGGTTGTGATAGATGAATTGAAATATTTAAAAAGCGTAGGAATTGCAATTAATGTAGACGGTATCAATTACCATTTATATTTTTCTTTGGGATTAATAATTGGCGACAACCTTGGATTAAATTCAATATTAGGTTTCGTTGAAAGTTTTACAGCTAATCGTTGTTGTCGAATCTGTAAAGTAGATAGAGCTAAGATGAAATCTCAGCTGACCGAAGATTCGAGCTTATTTCGTAATATTGAAAATTATTCCGCTCATACATCCAGTTGCGACAGTAGCTCATCTGGCATTAAAAGTCCATCCGTTTGGAATCAGTTACGAAATTTTCACGTAATTAGGAATTTTTCAGTAGATATAATGCATGATCTCCTAGAAGGGGTTTGTAAATATGACCTAGAGATAATTTTGAAAAATTATATATATGAAGCAAAATTATTTTCTCTTGAAGCCTTAAATCAAATGATTTTGGCATTTAATCATAAAGCTCGTTGCAATTTACCTATTATTAAGGAGGATCATTTAAAGAATGGCAACATAAGATTATCAGCTTCGGAAACCTTATATTTCGTGACTCTCTTTGGAATCATGGTTGGTCATTTGGTCCCTTCTAATAATATTTATTGGCGATTATATTTATCTCTTCGGAGTATTTTAGATATTGTTTTATCTTCAAAATTTGATATGGACTCTACACTTTTATTAAACAACCTTATTTCAGAACATCACCAAATCTTATGTTCATTAGGGTACAGTTTAAAACCAAAGCATCACAACATGATTCACTATCCTTTAATTATGCGAATGTCTGGTCCCTTAATAAATCTTTGGTCAATGAGATTCGAATCAAAGCATAGAACTCTAAAAAATATATCTAATATTTCTTACTCAAAAAAAAATATTTGCTTAACAATTGCAATCCGACACCAACTAAAACTATGTAACAAATTGATATCTAAGGATGGATTTTCCCGATTTATTGAAAAATCTACAATTACAGAATATAACAAACAAAAAGGATTTATTTATAAATGGATAAAAGTTTATGACAAACTAATAAAACACGGGACTATTTTAATAGTGTATCTCACAGAATCACATCCAGTTTTTGGCAGTGTATGTTCTATTGCTGAAACTGAAGTTGATATTATAAAGATAACGTTCCAGTTATTTGAAACTTTAGGTTATGATCAGCATTTACATGCATATTATGTTAAATTACAAAATGACATTAAAACAGAGGAACTTCAGGAGATTGATAAGTTACACGTCAATTGTTTATACCATATGTCATACGATGGAAATAGTTTAATTAATATAAATAGTTCTGTCTAAACAGACATAACAACTGAAGTACATATATTCATCATATATATATATTATGTAATAGCCTAATATATAAATATGTTTCTATAATGTTAAGAAGTATTGTTTAATTTTCTTTATATGTTTATGTTTATATTTTCATTTTATATTCAATATACCTATGCTTTCAATAAAATACGAGTTTTTGTTTAATTCCTTCCAAAAGTGCTAATCAATTAATTAATTAATTAATTAATGGTGCGGCAGTAACAACCATAAAATATCGTTCATGATATCATTTATTACAGTTGAAATACATAATTTTTTGTTACGACAATTATCAAATTTTGTTTAATAAGACCGTAGAATATGGTTCCAGCAAGTACAACATTTTTGGCTTTTATAACCACAGTTTTGTGGTTAACAGATTTACAATATTTTAAAGTTCTTGTAACCATAAAAATTAACAATAAATTCATGATGTTTGTAACTAAAATAATCATTGTCCTATATATGACCACAAAATATTGTAGGAATTGCCGTTATTATAATTCGTGGAACCATTTATTTTTTAGTGTGTAAATGCGTGATGGAGAACTTTTTTAAATATTGATTATTAGAAATTTACCGTTTTTAATATTTTGTTAATTAGGAGTCTATACTATAGAGTACTATTTTTATAACTGTGCCTTACGGCAGAAAGACCTCTTAATAACAATCTGTGAAAATACCAAACATCAATTCTTAATCTTTACCACTTAAAACCAGATCCAACGCACTGCGAAGTTAATGAACACCCGAGCACTCCGCACACCATTTGATTATTCATTACACTGAAGATAGTAGTTTTGGCTGATATTCTACCAGAAAATGTTCGCAAAATTACTTGAGTAGGGTTCGATATACGGGTTCAGCAACTTCCGATGTGGGACCAGCAAATCAGGCGATGTGGAAAAAACTTGGAATTAGTGTAGGAAAAAATTACTACTACTAAAAATTTTGTTATAAACCCAGGCACTGGAGAAATACAAGACCTTCAAGCAGATGATCCTCATTTACTAAAAAATATGAAACAATGTTTGGTGCAAAATTAAATTATCCAATTAGTGGATTATTATCTATAAAAATATAATTTACCATGTATTTTAGTCAAACTCGAACACATACAAAATTGTGATGAAGAAGACAATTTTGATTTAAAATTTGCACCTGATTTAATTAGCGCTCTTTTAAATTCCGGATATTTTAACAAAATGAAAGTTTCAAATTCATTAAATTTTACCAATCGAAATGTTAGTAGTTGTATGATTCAGAGAAAGGAGGACATCAATCTGCAATAACGACAGCTGTTTTTATTGATATGTATACAAATGGTTCCAATTAATTAATTAGTTCTAGATCTACAATATCGGTTTTAAGCAAATTCAATACCAATATCCAAATTAAAAGTGGCCCCGCATTATCTGGAAGGGCAGTGTGGAAACCTATTCCAACTGGTGTGATCTTAACTGCAGCATTTTGTATCAAGACTAGTTTTTAAACGAAAAAAATATTCTTATTTATTAAGCTCACGATTTTCTCAAGATTGTTTTGAGAATATATTCTCACTAATTATATTTATTAAGACATCGCATCCCGTTAGCAAATCGGTTTAAATATGATTTCAAACTGTTGTGTGTTTCACAATGCAGCAGCAGCTATGAAGCTTCTTTACCTTTAGATTGTTTTTCAAAATTTATTAGAAGTAATTAAAAAAAGATATGGTTACTAAAAGAGATTGTGTGATTTTATCTAATGACTGGATTAAAAAAAAAACAACCTTCTTTAAGAGAAAATCTGCTCTTTTTAGTAGTGGTTATGTAAATAAAGGTATGAAAACTCGAAAAAATTTTAAAATTGTTTAGATGCTTTACGTTCTAAGAAAAATACGATTAGACCTTACACAAAGTTTGTGGTTTTAAAATAATATAAAAATGGTTCACTGCACTATATATTTCTTATAATACTTTTCAGATGGCAACTTTAGTGGAACAAACTTTCATCAAAAATGTTTGCACTTGTAATGTTTTAGAAATCAAGAAGAAAGATGTGAGCGTTGATGCAGTGTATCAGATGATAAAATTTCCCTCATGTTGTAATGCAAAAACTAAGTTTGTAGAAAGAATGTGCACCGCTTAAAAATCTGAAGTAAAAGAGTAAAAAATCAAATAAGTAAATAGCAGAAACTAAAATAGTCCAGCAAAAGCCACAATGGAACATTTATATAGAAAAGTTTGAGTTTTAAAATATATAAAAACATTTTGTTGAATCAATTATTTTAAATTCAATAAAGAATATTCTCATCAAATTATACTTTAACTTAAATAAATGATTCCTTTATTTTATTTATTAAAGATTATGAGAATTTAATCATCATTAATTACTACTGAAATATTTTTTTTTCTCAATATCAAAATTTTACTTGGGACGCTACTGATTGTTTGATATAAAACTAAATTTTGCATCAAAAATTGTTGGCAAATATCAGTGTTTGCCATACTCTTATTAAAATATTATTTAGGTACTCTAGTAGTCTAGTTCTGATTAGACTGGCAGCGATTCCAACCTGTCATTGACGTAAATCCTTTTTCTTTCCAAAATAAAAATCGTCCTCTGTTTGTTTGAGATCACCACTTTTAGTGTTTTTATAATTTCAAGGAGGAGATTTTATTTAACGTCACTGGATACCTATGTTTATTTACTCTTACAGTGCAATTAATAAGATATTAAATATTAAATTTTTTTCTTATAAAGATTTCAGCACTGTTCCTTTGGAATTTAGAATTCATTTTTAAGTATATATCTACGTCTTCTGATGTACGTATATTTTAAGTTTATTATCACAGTGTAAGACTAGATCCTAAATTTTTATCACTATCATGGGTGACTATGACAATAATTTTCACCTACCTGTATCAGATACTCCCTGGTAAACACGGTATTAACTTGTTATTCATGCGTTTAACACAATAAGTGGCTTAATACTATAAATCACTCATTATCGTTATCACGTAATTAGAATCATCTAGTGCATTTTTTTATTATTATTGCTGGAGTATTTAGAACAGAGATTATGTTTATCATGTTCCCAAAATTTTTCTTTTAAATGCATAATGCATTGTTTTTTTTTTTAATTTGAACAGTTTCCTGCAAATTTTTGTGTAACGGTGGATTAATTTCGTTCTCGGTTTAGTTTTGTACCCAAGAACCGAGATTGATGCAAGATAATGTCTAACATCTGTGGTAGTTTTAAGTGGGCTAAAAATGGATAACAAAGCCGTTCATATAATTCTTATCCACATTACGTTATTGAGAACGTTTTCGACGAAATGTTGAATTTAATAGTTTTCTGTTATTATACTTCACGACTCCAGTTTTAAAGTTGAATCGCAAATTTTTAGGTGGTTCTTAGAGGGTTTCATCAAACCTGTGTTTTCCATATCATTAATTCAATTTTAAATAAAATTATTTCGAGAATTTGTAATTTTTTATGTGATGCTTGCGTTTTTTTATACGTTTAGGTACCTACCTACTCGAGATACCAGAAAATTTCTCTCGCACACTTTTCTCGAGGACTGGATCTCGTTATGCCCGTATTCTGAGTGTTTAAAGCTGTAGCTAAAAATGTCATTCGATGCAGATTTTTTTTGCATTTTCACGCAATTAATTCCATGGAATTAGTTGTACTTCTTAGCATATAAAAATTATTTAAGCCCATAACTATAATTTTATTAATTTACGGATTTTTTGGGAGATTGTGCCCACAATTTTTCACGACATTAATTTTAGGTATTTAGCTAGTTAGCGTACTATAATTACTTAGAGTTGTCTGTGTTAACTTACATTTTATTTACAAATCATTCACCATTTTTGTTTTTATCATCCAAAATAATTCTAAGTGCGTAGTGTTTTACTCTTTCGCGGAAAAGATTAACCTAGTTGTGTAGTTCGAACTTGGGTGCTGCTAAAAAACAAAATGAGCACATGATATTCATTTTATACCTCTCCTTGGTATTCTCTTTCTTCTGCGTATTCTACGTTTCTTTTTCATGTTTTTCTTGGCTTGCTTGTTTCTTCTATTTTTGCCTCTGTCTTTATTACATCTGTCACTGTACGTTGGTTTTACATTTAAATTAGATCTAATTACATCATTATTTCGGCTTTTTATAACCCTAGAGTATGAAAAAGTAGGACCCACCTTTCCGCCTGTCTGTCGTCATTTTGTGTGTGTCCATTTTTATTAGACAGATAATATTTGAAACTATAGCACCGATTGTGCCCGGAATATCGTCTAGATGATAAAACACCAACCAAACTTTGTTTAATCATCCCCACCAACAATGTTTCATTGTACATACTATTTCAATTACATAAAATAACATACTCCAGTATTTTTGGTTTATGAATCCGCCTTGATTTTTAGCACAATTACTTTACAAAAGTTTTTGTGCCGTATTTATCGTGAATGTCACGTAACCGATATTTGGGTTACGCGTGTAATAGGTACGTGCGAATTTTCGACGCCTCGAGCTCAACTTACTCGCGTGAATCTGAATCCAATCCTCGTAGATTTTTTTAACACATTGAATTTGTTTGAATGTTTGACTTCAGCTGCAAGGAAAACTTTTTACTTCCTTTTTAAAATTTTTTGCAATTTCGCTTTTTCCCAAAAACTTCTGATAGTACTAAATGTTTGGCCCACGATTTCTGTTTTTTCTTTCATTTCTGGGTAAAACTTTTATTTACTTTTTGCCACTGTATCCAGATATTTCAACTGTTATACTTGTTCGATAGTTTGATTATTATTTATTCTGATGTTGGGTATTTTTTTTGTTGAGATGACGAATTTTGTCATTATTACATACATACGTGTAGTAATTTTTTGTAATTCTTTCTTTAACACCTTTATATTGTTTTGTAATTATCTTTCCGTACTTGCCAAGATGGCCATATCGTGAGCCAACAGTATTTTTGATATCTTTATTGGTTTACAAGGTGGATCAGTGACTTCGTATCGAGGGTGGTTTATGGGGTTTGGCCCCATTCGATTTTTAATTTGTTTTTTCTATATTTCGACACTTCGAAGGTAGGGGATGCCGTGGTTAAAATTATTGCATATATTTCGCATTCACCCAGTATAATTTATTTCTTGAATATAACAAGTAAAAAATGAAGTATATTTTTACATATTTAACTTAATAAGACGAGAATTTCACTAAAATAATAATGTACCTAGATGTTGCAGTTGTAGGAAAACAACTAAAGTAAACTTCAATTGTTTAAAATCAACTAGCAAGATAATCCTTCCGAGTTGTAAAGCTTACCATGTTGAACATCGTTTATTTTAATGTATCTTCTTTGAAGACTGTCGAGAATATTGCGCCAATGTTTACACGACCATGGATTATGATTTATTGTTATCCAATTTACGTTAGAGAAAACATCTTGAAAAATTTCTACATCTAGATTCGTTATTTCGTTGTTGTTGATATATAAGCTCCAAACTTTGTTTCCACGAGGCAAAATGTCCAAATTTAAAGCCTTTAGTTTGTTGTGGGATAGATTTAAACTTGATAAAGCTGGAACCATATTGAATGCACGTAATTTGATATGACTTATTTTGTTAAAAGAAAAATCAACAATCGTTAAAGAAGGACAATCCACAATAGTATTTTCATGCAAAATTTCTAAGTTATTGTTGCTAACAACCAATTTTCTTAATAGTTTTAGATTCCCAAAAACGTACGGTTCAATTTCAGAAATTGCATTAAATGCAAGATTCAAGGAAGTGGTATTGATCGATTTTTGCTGAGATTGTTTTGTATATTTCACCCTTTTGATTTTGTTGTAGCTTAAATCTAACTCCTTGATGTTAGCAGGAATTTCATCCAAAGTTGAAATAACATTGTGACGTAAATTTGTTGTCTGGCTGTGAAGTTTATTCAAGTTTTGAATTTGCCTCAAACTAGTATTCTTCATTTCAAGGAACTGTATCTTCGGTAGTTTATCAAAATTGATAATCTCCAAGTTGCTATTTGAAATATCCATAGAGTACAGAGTAAAATTTGATAAATCAGTGTCAAATGTTCTTAGAGATGTATTACGTGCTATAAAGTTCATGAGAGATTTGAAATTCACATCTTCAAATTTAGCTAGAGGATTGTTCGAAATATCTATGCTTTCCAAGGATACCAAACCTTCAAACATGTTGCCATGTAAGTCTTTAATATTATTTCCTGCCAACGTAAGATGCGTCAAATGTACCAAATTTGAGAAGTTAGCATTCGACAGATCAGATATGCGATTGTTTGAAACATCCAATATCCTTAATTCTGTCAATGTATTTAAAATTTCTTCTGGTATTGTTATTAGTTTATTAAAGCTAAGATTCAAATCCTGTACAGATTGTACGTGTTCAAGAGCCCCAATTTCTATGTCTTCAATTCCTATCTTACTTAAAGTCAACTTTTTAAAACCGTGAAAGCGAAATAAAGAAGAATTAGCAACAATCACCGGGAAGGTGGAATTTGCAATAATCAGGTGATGATTTGGTGCTTGGTGTGCATAGGTGTAGTTTAAAGTAATATTCAGAGATGCATCAGAACAGGTAATTATTTGAGTGTCGACAAATCTGAGAGTGCGAATTCTGTCTGAATGGAAACCTGTTCCAAACCCTGTACAGTCATGGTAGAATCGCGTAAAACCAAATCGATAGACGCGGGGTTTGTATACATATTTATAGCTAAATGCATCTTCACACACTGCATTTACTGATAAGCAGCATGCAAAAATTAGAAGGAATTTATAATAGTGCATCTAAAAGAAAAAAAAAGATAATAATCGTCTAAAAAATATCATAATTTAAACTCACCGGATGATCGTGTTTTTATTAACCACACTTATTTTTGAAATTGCAGATATTTATTTGTGCGTCTCTTTTATCAAACGCGTATTTTATAGTACACTTATCTGTTATTTCTCATAACAACAATTTTAAGAAATCCTTGTTGTTTAGATTTGATTACAATTAGCTTTAAAACGGTTCATATGATTTAATAATTTACAGTAATCTTAATGCAATTCTTTCTGTGTACTATTATCAGCTTGTCAAAAAGGTTATCATTAAAAATGACCTTGATATTAGTTCTTCATTTATAAATTTTAAATCTTCAGCAAATAAAATTTTTTCAAAACTCAATGTAAATATATAGTGCATTTTTTTTTAAAGCGGCCATAGGGATTTTTATGTTAAATTTTATACAACATGTCAACTTACCCTTGAGTAAAAATTCAGACTTGAAATTTTTACTGGATGTAATTTGGGTCATCTTTTGTCGATTTTATTAAAGGTTATGCTTTTAAATTAAAGGATATTTCTTAAAAAAAAAAAATTATTTGGATATTTTTGTCGGTAATATTGTAGGCAGTCATGTAAAAGCAGACGTTTACCAGACGTTTCTAAAATTTGACTACTGGTTTTTAGTGACCAAAATTCGTCAACATGCCATGGTACACAATTAAAGAAAAAGTGTAAATGGTCACTGATGGATACATTAAAAGCCTATCAACAACAGGGAAATTGCGCAAAATTTTGCTGCAACAATCCGACACCGTCTCATATTCGGCCAGAGCACAATTTATAAATTTTATGGCAGATTTTATCAATTGTGGACATTCAAAAACACAACTTCAGTGAAATTATCTTATATTTTCTTTAATTATGTTTGAATTCCATTATTCTGTTTTTTTTCTAAAAACTGTAATAACGGGATTTTTTCACTACTAGCTCGAGAAGTTGTCATTATGTACTTGCTTCCGAACTGTGAAATTAAATTTCTCTCCTACTAGTAGATATTGAATATCGCATTTTGGGTTGCCTATGTAACGCCGTAAGACTGTACCGTAAGTTCATTGTCTTGCCCCACTGGGTTTCTTGACATTTTTATGAAGAAAATAAAAAATTATGTCGATGTCGATCTAAAAAAAAAAATGGGTTAAATGGTAATTCTCTTTTCAGTACTAAGATATCAGTTTGGAAGACAAGTATAACAGTGTACAATAATAGCAGGTATAATACTGCGCACGTACGGAATGGGAGAATGACGTCACTCAGAGAGTAAACACGGGTATTTCACGCGTCTTCTGTAATGTTTTTCTGTCCTTCACGTATTTTTTAGAAAGTTATTATGTGCACGTTATTTTTTACTAGTTTTAATGAAGTTAGAACTATGCGTTGTGCCGTTTTTGGGTGATAATCAATCAAAACATTTTCGAAAACATAAAATTTTATTCGTTTCCAAGTAACAACGTTAGACGGCAGTTATTTCTTGTTGTCCTTCGGACTCTTTTAAAGTAAAAAATACAAGGGTGTGTTCTCAGCAATTTAGTGAAGACGATTTTGAACAAAATTTGCAATATTAAGGTTTGAACTATCTTCCTAAAGAAGGCAAAAAATTAATCTGGAGCTGTAACTTTGTTTTTTGTTCTTAAATATAATTTTTCTGAAGATGTCACATCATCTATATCATTTATAAATATTAAAAATAATATTGGTCCTAAGTAAGAACCCTGTGGAACTCCGGATGTTGGGACAAATGGAGAAGAATGATGATTGTGATATCTTACAACTGTTCCTCGATCAAATAAGTATGACTTTAAGGGTAAATAGAGAATCGATGAAACCATAATGACGTAATTTTTTTAGCAAAATAAAGAAATCTATTGTGTCGAAAGCCTTTTGAAAATCAGTATAATTTACATCTGAGACATATGGAGCAAAACAAGCCAGATTGGTAATTGTAGATCTTTTCTTAACAAACCGAATGCGAACTAATTGAGGAATAAATATATTTATATAAAACTGACTCAAAAATTTTTGCGAAGTTAGACAATAATAGACCTGTAGTTACTAATCTCATTGACATTACCTTTCTTAAACACTGGACTTTCTTCCACATAGAAGGAAATTGTTTCGTAACTATGTCCGGACCTGTGGTCAGTGTTTTTCGAACGTTTTAGGGCTGCGAGAACTGCACATTCAGGAAAACTATTAAGTAATATAAATAGGAGAGTTAGAATTGCCGGATATTTCCATAAACGACGGAACATTGGAAGCAAAATATTCAATATAGAGACTATTAAAGTAATTTGCAAACGCATCAACAATTTCTTGAGGCTCGGAAAGTTCACAATCATTATACAATATACAGCATACATCCAGGGATTCGTGTTTGTCCTTGTCTACTTTGAATAAAAGACCAAAATGCATTTGGATTAGTGATAACATCTGCCTCACTTTTGGAAATAAAATTTTTGTAAGCTGATTCAGACTTTTGGTAGGGGAGCAGTAATATTTAAATGAGTCCTAGTAATATTGAGTTTGATGTTTTTTATACATTTTCCATAATTTAAATAATTTTGTACGTATGCATTCAATTATTTCGAAATTAAACCAAGCAGGATAATTATAAAAAAGACGCTTGCCTTTAACTTTAAATTTGAACACATATTCTTCTAGAATGTTATTTAAAACGCTGTAAAATGCTAGTATGCTTGGTCAACATTATTAAAAGAATTTAAAAAATCTCAGTTTACTGACAGAAGTTCATTGTAGAAAACACGGAAATTCGCTTTTTTGAAATTAAATTGATTATTAGTGACTTTTAAAGAAACATGTTGCGATTTAACCTGAAATTCAATATCAATAGAAAGTGAAGGGTGATGAGCATCTTCCTGTACTAGTGGAAAGTCAGATTTTTCAACTATACATTTAAGATTTTAGAGAAAATAAGATCAAATACATGACCATAACGATTTTTAATACTATTAAACTGATCTAGATTGTGAAAACCCTTGAAATTATTCAAATGTATGGTGTATCGATTGAGCGGATCCATTAAAAACGCAGGCACGTTAAAAGCCCCTGCAATTACCCAGTAAACACAGTTACGTCGTAACGATGTTAATGCCACTTAACTCTGTCTACGATCTTGTTAGCTGTTACATCCCAAACTGCGTACATTTGCTTTCCCTGTGCTATGTAATGTAATCAACAGTGACCCATGCTTGTAACATACTGGTGACATCCACACTGTTTCAGACTAGAGACGTGCTCGCTGGTACATCATCATAACGTTGTGTTAGTATGTCGCTAGATTCTCTATATTGTATGTATCTGTTACGTTTTATTTTAAACGCCAATATAACGTATTAAATGGACATAGACGTTACGTATATATCGCAACATCGTAAACATATGACTCTCAGTATATTTTATTAACATGATCTATGCGATATGAATAGGCATTTCAGAAAATCTAGTTACCATTTAGGGATATGGATATGGAGAGTAAAATTTAGAGCTTACAGTAAATTATTGTTTTATTCAATATTTGAAAAAATATAATATGTAATAAGTAATAAAATATAAAAATTAATATAAATTCATAATATAAATAAATAAATATATATATGATTTCCTAATTCGAAAATAATACAATATAATTTACACTTAAAAAAAGACACAGAAACTATAAACTCTCGTTGTTTTTTCTTTCTTCAGGCGTTGACTAGAATGCCGTAGCCACTCTGAGCAGCGTTGTTCTACTTCTTTTTCTATTGCGGAATGGGTCTTCATTGTAATTTCTTCAAAAATAAAAATTGTAATAATTATATTTATTGCAAAAAAAATACCTTTCATAATATTCATTGTTTTTGTCCCAGCCATTTTGGAATTTTCCTACCGAACAAACAAGCTACAGCAAATTCACTGAATTTTTATTTTTTTTTTAATATACCCCCCACATTGTTCTTTTTCCCATTACCACCTATCTGGGACGATAGCAGTTCCTGAAATAAGAAAAGAAGAAAATATTTTTATGTGTATATATCGAGTGACTCTGAAATAAGTTCGGAAAATAAAACCACAACATCACGAAGTAGAGAAAATTTTAAGTAATTTCTTTTATCTAGTCCTAATTCAGGGGAAAAAATATCAAGATCTACACCTCATTCAGTGCCATTTGTTTTCATCTAAGCAACACACAGCAAAAATAAAGAAAAAATTTAGTCACAATGGAAACTGAATAAATCATTGCCGTATGATTTACATTTAACAAGATGTTCCGTATTTGTTTCTTGAAACTGGAGCAGCAATTTAATTACTTTGAATCCGTGTGACAATTAAAGGTTTTTTTTTCCGAATTTATTTGGAAGTCACCGCGTATGTATAACATACACGGTGCTTCACTATAAGACTTTTCTGCAACCCACTATGTATGTAACGTGTTAAGCGAAATGTGTCATGTTTAGTAGGTGACTAAAAAGTGTTATAGTATTACAGGCATCTACCTGTATATAATATCCAAAATTATGTTATATGTAAGTACATATAAATATATTTAGTCCAGTCATTTTAGCATAAAAAAAGGGATCAACCTCGGAATGAGAGACAATAAGCTGAATTTTTGTATACGCCTTAATTTTGGCGTTCTAAAAGTTGTCTCAAAAGTCTCATAAAATCTCGTGTCTGCGTCGTAAGTTATTCAAGGTCAAAGGTCAAGATAAACAGTTTTTTGCAATTATCTCAGTTTCTATTGCTCCAATGATGTTAACAATTATTATCATAATTGTAGAGCACAAAATTTGGAACAAATTTGATTTGAAATATTTTTTCATTCGCTCAATCGTTTTTGAGATAGAGGACAGTGAGCGCGCAGCGCTCGTCCATACGTACTGTAATGCAATCAACCGTGAATATCTGTGAATACTACCTTGAATTTTGAATAATTTGTATTATTGATCAATTAATACATTGTATTTAATAACATTTTACATATTTTCAATATATTCATAGAATAATACTTACCTACTTTGTGTAATTAAAAACTCATTTAATGAAATATTTATTGTATATCTCAATTTATTTATATCTTTAAAATGTGTAAGTTT